AAGTAATTTTTCATAATTTTGAAAAACTGTTAGTAATTCCATTATAAAGTTATAAAATAAATTCATTAAACAAATAGTGTATAATTACATCAATACTACTTATCATTAATAAGTCACATTGATTCTAGCAAGAAAATACATTCCAGAGGGTGAAGATTAGTCTCTGTTTTGGGTTTTTTTTTTTTGTTTGTTTGGTTTTTTTTGTTTTTCTCCGGTACCGGGAACCGAACTCACGACCTTGCGCTTGCCAGGCAGGCGCTTTGCCACTGAGCTAAATCCCCAGCCCCTAGTCTCTGTTTTGCTAGCTGCCATTACTTTGGCCCCCTAGAAGAACCTGTGGTACAAAATGTGTTTTCCATAAATGACTGCTGCATAAGTATACAATAGTAACTCCTCAGTGTTGTAAGACATTTTGCATTTTAAAACATTTTACCCTTATCATTATATTTGATCCTCAAACCAATCTCGATAATAACTAATGTCACCAGCTAACCGCATAAATTACAGAGACTGTGGAGTAGAAAAGTATCATATCTAAGGTCAAATGGTGAAACTGAGGCTCGAATGTAACCTCATGCACCATCAAGCCAGTGCTCTTCCTTGCAGCTTTTGAAAGCTGATAAAGCCTAAGTATTGGTAAGATCCGATTTTACCCCAAGAAGTATGAGTTATTTTTTCTGCAAGAAGATGCAATGTAAAGATCAAATTAATAGAGTTAATATTTGATCTTTCAATGAATGAACAACTTGTACTGTTTTCCCCCTGAGGACCTGAAAATTAAAAGTCATATACTACACTCTACGGCAATTCACAAGGCTCAAGTGTTTACCGTGATCCAGAGAAGGGGCAACGCCCACGAAACCTGAGTTCATTAGAGTCACCCATTCGTCAGTGACTCCATGCCCGTCTTCATGGCACACGATACATAATTATAACTGGCACACAACGCATAATCACAACAAACACCTGAAACACCGCAACTACTCCTCGCTATCAATTTAACAGGTCTATCAGGGCTACAAAAGAATGTTTCCCATTTGTACCTCTAAATCCGCAAGTGAGAGTCCACTTGCACGAGAACAAAGACCTCAGGCTGTCAAAGACCAGAGAGCATATGGTGAATGTAAATATTTAATTTCTTTTTTATTTTTTTCAGACAGAGTCTTGCTATGCAGTTCAGGCTGGCCTTGAACTTACAGCAGTCCTCTTGCCTTTGCTTCCCATTTAGATATCACTGTCTGCTACCCAGTGACTTTAGGTTTAAAAAAGTAAAAGATTTCCATAACAGAAGGAGAGGTGCAGCAACAAACTGGCCAGTATGTTCAAAACACAAATGGTGAGCACAACGCATTTTACTAGTCCCGTAAACGGACTGGTATGGGACGCCTTTCACCATCCTCAAGTATTGCCTCCCTACTGACACAGCAAATATGCTCTGCCTAACCAAAATACATGGCTCCACATCACCGATGATAATTACCTATCAAGTATCAATCACACAGGACTCATCCATCCCAAGGAACCAAGCACAATCTTGCCTTCTGCCTAGACAATGGTGGCATAGTGGAATGAACTCATCTAGGAAACCTTGGTCCTACAGGCAGTTCAGCTAGAAACTCTTGGTAACCTAAGGAAACCCTTTCTCTGTATCCCCAACTGTCTTCATATCTGACAAAGGAAAGAACTACACATCAAATTCGTCCTAATTCAGTGGCTCCAAACTTTAGTATGAGAGCATGAAAAATGGCGCCAGCATGAAAGAAAGCAGGAAGGAAATAAGCTTAGCTACTACTTCCATCATGAGAGAGCCAGTTATGTTGTTCTGGCATTTTCTTATAGTTACTATGGCAATCCCATATCAGCACTGATCTATCATTATTTCCCCTCCACAGAATGTACTAATAACCCCAGGGTACAAGAAAACTGAATGATCTAGCAAAATCAGTTCCATCCTAGGATTCTCATGTAATAAAATTCAGATTCATGTCACCTCTCCTGAACTATCTTTAGCAGAAATTGAAGCAAAATTGGAAAACAAAGGCCTCATCTCTATTTCTTAAAAACATACATTTAAAACATAATGCATGAAGCAGTTTGTGAAGATTGTCATGATCTTGAAATTAATTTCAAAGACAATCATAGAATAATACAATAGTGGAGTTATACCAGTGATGAGATTGTATAGCCCAACCTCCAAAAACATAACCCCTTAAAAATCAGTGGGAGTTCCAGATATGAATGTCCACATTGCTGCATGGAACTTCAATAAGCTCTTTCACTTCTGGCATTCCATCACTCAGTAAAACGGCAATAACATCTGTTCTATCTACCCCAGAGAGCTGTAGTAAAACTTCTCTCCTGAAAATTAAGACAATGAAATGTAACTGCTAGATAAATATAAAGGTTTGAACCAATATAAAGAATTTCTAACAAAAAAAATAATCTTGAGTTGGTACCCTATGGATGCACTGTTTTAGAAAAATCTAACTTAAAAATATTTTTCCAAAGGAATTCCAGACACTGGAAAAAGGCCATGCTAGGGCACAAGAAAACTCCACCTTCACAGACTAGAGGACTTCAAAAATCATTCTGTGTGAGTAGTTATTACAATGATGTGTATAAATAACATTGCCACACTTCAGCCTGCAAAATTATTAAAAGAGAAAGAAAAAAGACAGAGGAAAAGTGAAGAGAGGGAAAAGAAGAGGAAAGGGATGGATGGAGGAAGAAGAGGGGAGAGGGAGACAGAGACAGAGACAGACAAAAAGACAGAGACAGACAGACACTGATTAAGATTCTTATTCCTAAAGGATAATAAAAAGGTAATTTCCAAGCCATCTAAAGAAAACAATAAATTAGTAAAGTAGGAGAGCTCATATACTCTGCTATGTACCAACAACAGACAAAGTCATTTTTCTGTGCCATCAAAGTTTAAAGCTTTGTTTTTATTTAGTTGTTGTTGCTTCTTTGTTTCGGTTGCTTTACATTTGAGGCAGAGCGGGGGACCTAGATTTCCGGGTAAATAATGTTAGGCAGTAGTACTTTAAAGACTGGAAGAAAACTGCATTATCTTATTTTCCTCATCAGTATAAAAGGTGATGGGTCAAAAATCATAAAAACATATGAAAAGAACTTGAAAAAAAGGTGCAGTTAAAACTAAAACACCTCAAGAAAATAATCTGCAAGGGCCTTCAAAGATAGCTAAAGAAACACAAATCTTGGGGCTGGGGATTTAGCTCAGCGGCAAAAGCGCCTGCCTGGCAAGCGCAAGGTCGTGAGTTCGGTTCCCGGTACTGGAGAAAAACAAAAAAAAAAAAAACAAACGAAACACAAATCTTTACAAAACCAGTGAAAAGTAGAACGATAAGTATAAAATGAAAATGATAGGGCTGAGGACATAGCTCAGTGGCACAAGTGCCTGCCTGACAAGTGCAAGTTCCTGAATTCAACTCCCAGTACCAAAAAAAAGAAAAAGAAAGTGATCCACAGCATAAAGAGCCACTCACTAGAAATGAGTAAGTCCCACTTTTGTGTGTGCAAAAACCCTTGAGGAAAAGGTTATTAGCAGAATACCTTATAAAAGAAAATTACAACATATGGGTACTACATAAATATAAGTTGATGTGGAAAACATGTGGGTACTTTTCTACTTTCACAGTCAGAACTTAAAATAAGAAAGCAAACCTCAGAGATTACAGACATAATACCAAGGTGAGAAATGTAATTGGTAACCTCAAGGTAGCAGTGGTGAAACAACTCTTTCACTGAAAAGCTCAAAGAATGGGTAAAGGAAGACAGAGATAATTCAGACATACAGGTTGGAGCTATATGCTGGATATAGACAACAGCTACAGTTTAGAAAACGTACTGGCTACAAAATCACAGAGAAGGTCACCTCTTCTCTCTAAGCTTCTATTTCTTCATGGGAGAGTAAAACATGTAGGGGGTTGTCATGAAAATGCAAAGATGAGGGGCTGGGGATTTAGCTCAGCGGCAAAGCGCCTGGCAAGCGCAAGGTCGTGAGTTCAGTTCCTGGTACCGGACAAAAACAAAAACAAACAAACAAACAAAAAAAGAAAACGCAAAGATGCGATAATGGGAAAGCATAGAGCTTGGTATGTACAGTGGTGCATGCTCAAAAGGTACTGAAAAGGGGCAAGGGCTATAAAAAAATTTAAAAAGCGCGACTGGATCTCTTTTCATTACCCTTAGTTTTTTAGCTCCCAAACTCTAACATTCTTCTGTGTGGTAGTTTTCAGTTATGATTCCATGAGTTTAAATGAGCTGCTGACATTGTTTGGGCAAAATATGGAACCTCTTCAACCAAAAAGTGTGGTATCATTTATACAGCACCTGTGGTATGCTACAGAAGAACGTAGTATGTATATCCACACCAACGAATGCTCAGTCCATGTACACCTTCAAAGTCCTCTTGATGTAAACTCACTGTGCTATTAAAACCCTTAACACTAAAGCTCAGGTAGAATTATCTATCAGATTCAACAAATACGGATCTCATAAACATCTTCACGCTACTTTATCCTTACAGCCTACAGAAGCAGAACTATCCAGACAAAGCAAAACAAATTCTAAGGAACTCATCAGGTTTGCTCTACACAGGTTCCTCCTTGGACTTTTCCTTGGTGGCATTTTGGAACATCTGTCTGGTGGCAAGAGGGAGGAGCCATTGGGTGCTAGACGCACCATCTCCAGAGGATGGTACAGGATAAAGAAGAAGGCCCTGAATTGTGAACGAATCTGCAATTTAGGCTCTAATCCTATTTATAACTGTATCATCACATCCATATCGTCCGTGAGGTCTTCATTTCTGTATTTCTAAAAGAGTGGTTGATCCAGAATGATTACTTGAGGTTCATTAACCTTTTCTACTCTGCAAATTCATGAGCTTCCGTTTTCCAACACAAAATTGCACTGACCGGTCCTATACTGTACTGAATGTTCCTACTCTACATGCACAACTCTGAAATGCCGGCACTTACCCTCAGCTCCAGGTTGCTTATACGGGTTGTACTTAGGCTTTGGAGCAACAACCGGTGCAAACTTCTTGGGTGGCTGTTGTGTAGACACCGAAATACTGGGAGTCCCAAAAGAATGGGTGGTCTCCATCCGCGCGGGAACATGGCCAAGGGGCTCACCAGTGCTTTTGGGTGGCAGCCAAGTTGGATGAGACATCGTTGAAATCTGCAATTAAAAAGAAATAAATGCTGGTTTTATACAAGCTTGAAATGAAGGTGACATCTCACTCCATGGTATTTCATCTTAATCCATACTTAATGAATCTTTATAAAGGTGCATGACATTATATGCAAAAGAGAAGAATGGAGGAGGGAATAAGGACAAAAGCATGCAGCAGGAGAAAAGGAGAATGATCAGAACAAGGAGGAGAAAGAAGTAAAAGATGGATAGGGGGAGGAGGAAGAGAAGGAGGAAGCAGAAGTGGTGGAGAGCAGTCCCTCATATCCGAATATCTCACTTCCAATAATTACCTACTCGGTGTTAGGCACTCTTGGAGAAGTAGATATGCACAAGAAATTCTTCCTAACTTGAAAAAATTTCTATGTAGGAAGTTAGGGGAAAAGGTTGAATTTTATCAATAGTCTATAAAATAATTATTGCACCAATTAAATGGTGATACCTAAATGATGAGCTAAGTTACCCAAGTGAGATTTAAAACAAGCACTACTGGGATGAAGGAAAAGATAAACTAACTTCTTGTTGGCAGCAGAACCAAGAGGACTTCACCGGTGAGCGTCGTCCAGACTGGGGCCGGAGCACTGAAGAGAAAGAAGGAGCTCCTGAACAATGGTAGTCAAGTTGCAGAGGCAGGAAGACACATGGCACTTATGTTTAGCATGGCTTCAAGAGCAAGAAATGAAAGTAGCAAAAGAAATACAGTGTGAGGGACCAAAATGAAACCAAAGTGAGACAACTTTAAACGTGGACCTAGAGGCTTTCAGTGTGTGTTCAGAAGACAGGAAGGACACACTGAACATGACCCTCTAAGATGGTCTTTTGCAAAAGGAAAAGGACCAAGGGAAAGAGGGAACGGTAAAGAAAAGGATGAAAACAATTAAGATATGTTGTGTGCGTGTACCAACTCCCTATCATGGATGTAATCATACAAATTAAAACAAAATAAATAAAATAAAATAAAAGCACTCTGTGAGAGCAGCTCTGCTCCCTACCAAGAGGCACCGGAAATGGGAGGAGGGGACACGGGTTGCCACGATGCCTGGGACAAGAAACAGCATAGGATTATCCAGCACCTATAATGCACAGATCATTCTGCACCAGCAAAGCAGGAACAGTTGCATCAAGAGCTCTCCTGAGCTGAGAGTATATTGGAGTTTTTTGCTTCAGCCAGCCTGGATGTTGCTCTGATCAGTGCATACACATCATGTGAGAGAAGGAAAATGATGTCTCCTTATAAGATAAGCCAATCACTCCTCCACGCAGCCTTCCCGCTGGGGATGAGCCTCACCGACTGCTGCTGAGGACAGCTCTCCAAGCCTGATTGCAAGAGCTCTCCAGCACAGAGAGGCCCGGAAGGTGCCCTGCACTACTCCCAGCCCCAAATCCAACTAGTAATTTATTAATTGAACTGAATTAATTAAGAGGGCTACATGATTACCTCCAGATGTCTGTAAAGACAAAGAACACAGGAAATGCAGGGAAAATTAAGGCCCCAGCACAGGGCAAAACTGAAGGGTGCTGGGACACATTTTCACTCACAAATTAATACTGGTCCACACCACGGATAAGCAGCGTGACCTTGAACTCTCAAATGCCTCAGAAACCCCCACCCCCTCACAATTAAGACTTAGAAAAGCCTGTTCTTCTCAAGACCCAAGCCTTTATGACAACCACTGAGACAGTATTAAAGTGCATTATATACTGTATAGTGCTACATTATCTGAGTGGAAGGAATCCTTCTATCCTCACATGAAAGCATTAAGAACTGTATGACCATCTGATATGGAGCAAAAGAAAAGGAGCTGTGGATTTTTTTGATTCCCATGAAATTGGGAATCAGGACACATGTCATAGGAGCAAGCGATGTCAGTGAACCTTCTCTTTGATTATCCATCAATGCTTTTTTTGTTCTTCTGCTCTTATATGTGTATGTATATATTTACCTGCAAAACTGAGATATCTTAAAAAAGACAAGGACCATATTGTACACATTCCTAAACTACCACTAAGGTATGGCACAAAACCAAAGTGAAGAAGCAATCGATACATGTCTCTTTTATTCATAGTTATTAAATCTGGTTTTACATTTGGAATCTCTGAAAAAAAATTAAGTACCAAAACCAAGCCTATCTCTTGGGGTTAAGATATATCAATGTTGTTTTGGTTTTTCATTGAGTCTAAGTCTTCGAGCAAATGGGAATGAAAATATTTTTTTCTCTCAATATGACTAATGGGAATGCAAATGGGGAATAAATGATACAAAAAGGTTTAGGAGTTTTAGTGCTTTCTATATATTTGTAGTATGCACATTCACAGTACAGTTTGAAAATGGGTTAGGCTATCCTTGCAACTTTCCTATAAATTTAGTTTTCTAAAATAGAATTTTTTTTAAAATGGGTTAATATAAAATGCAGTGGTTTCTAAAAGAAAGACACATACTTTCAGAGCAGTCCCAAGTCAGTTATTGACTATGGCATGTTGGCTTTTGCATAGATACAAAGACATAGGCAACTTCTAGGGGAGTATTAAAAAGTTAAAATTTAACCATCAAAGGCAAACTATTGATGCATAGTCGATTCAACGTTCCCCAACACAGTGATGCCCCCTGAGGTCTTCCCCTCATGGAAACACAGCACTAACTGCTACAAGGGCCAAATCTGTGTACACGTGAGCTGCCCAAACACATTCTCTTGTCATTATTCCTCATGTCAACATTGACCAAAGGATACTGTTCGCAGGATTTATTGTGAGCTCTCATGAGTCTGAAGACCAAATCATCTGAATTCAATCTGCATCTACTCGTGCTGTGCCCACTTCGGGTATGCCATTTTCTTCTCTTCATGTTATTGCAAGTTCTTTATGGTTTATAGTGCCCCACCTCAAATATCTCCAACTCTACGAATCCTTCCATAATGCTTAATTGTTCTTCTAGGCTGTTATACTAATTTTCCGATACTTATAATAATCTGCAAGGAAGCAATTTATTCACCTGTATATCAGCCCCAATGAGCTACAACCTTTGAAGTAGTCTCACTGTGCCAACATAATGCCTGGTTATGACCCTTAGAAAAATTTCTTACACAAGAGTGGGTTAATGAATAAATGAATCTCTGTCTCTCTGTCTCTCTGTCTCTGTCTCTGTCTCTCTCTCTCTCTTTCCCTTATGCCTCTTCAGAATCTCTGTCTCCTTTTTTAGTTTCTACCAGTACAATCATTTGTCTTTAATCTTTCTTAATTTGGTGATATAACGAATCATGTTGACAGATTTCCAGACATTGAACCATCTTTGCATTCTTAGAATAAATTCTGCAAGTCATAATCATGTATTCTGTTGATACATTGATGAATTAACTATGTGGGTTTATTTTTTTCAGAATTTCTGTACATATAATCATAAATAAGATCATTTTATACTGTTTTTACTTGCACCTATTTTACTTATTATTGGCTTTTAATGTGATGGTTCTGCATTCTATTCCACTGTTCATATTACTTTAATAATGACCTTGAAATTATGTGATTTTTAAAGGTGAAGCAGATTTCAATATAAAGTCAACTCAATATCATAACCTTTTTAAATGACTGATACCATATAAGTTCTATAATAATGGCAGTGGGTTTAGATTCCTGCTAAGGTGATTTTTCAGCACTCATATGTGGTAGGAAAGTCATCCAGATCCTCTACGTTTTATCTCTGCTCCATTTCAACCAAACTACCTCTTGATTAAAAAGATTGCTTGTTTACTATGCATCATTTTGTTTTGTTTTGTTTTTTTTGTTTTGTTTTTTGTCTTTTTTCTTCCGGTACCAGGAATCGAACTCATGACCTTGCGCTTGCTAGGCAAGCGCTTTGCCACTGAGCTAAATCCCCAGCCCTGACTATGCATCATTTAGAGCCTGAGAATGACTTCCTTTTAGTCCTTAAAGACCTAAGCCATGCACTCCATCCGTTAGGGCAATGTGCTCTGTGCCAGCACATCCACAGGACCTGGCACCCTCTTGTCACATGCTCATCCCACGTGATTCTGCCTGGCTGCATACTCATGCCCCAGAGTAAATTCTGGGATCTTAGAGAGCAGACATGCTTATCACTTTATAATCCTGGGGCGTATGTAGTGACAGGCACTAAATAAGCATATCTATGAATTTAATAAATAAATGAATGTATATTCCTACCACTGGAGCTCCAGATGAATCAGATTCTCACTATTTACTCAAGGAGCTTAACATCTCTCTAAAGGAGGTACACTGATGTGAGTGTAATGAGAAGGAAGTAACACAGAAACCATATGGGAAAATATCAGACTGAGTCACAAGACCTAGCACCCAGGCTTGGCAGGGGAAGCTCTTAACCAGAACTCTGAGTTCAGAGACTCTAAAAGGTAAGGGAGCAACAAGGACAATGATCAGAAGTAATAATCCAGGAACAAAGCAAGGAAGGTCGTGGCACAGGGAGCTGACTACCATCCCAAGGAGGAGTCAGGGAGAAAAACAGATAGGAAATGATTTTTTTCAAAGATATGACATAGAGAGATAAGGAACCAGAACGTTTATCTTTGGACAAGAATCTAACAATCATGAAAACTCAGTGTAAGAAAAATGAGTCCCCACTGGAGGGACCCAAGGAGGGTATCTGATAAATTGAGCCGTACAGACACGGAGAAGCTCTGGCCCTAGGCTGCTTCTCAGTTATTTCAGAGCAACTTTTAGCAAACTGATCTGTAAAGTTTCAATCAGCTAAAATATAAGACAGTGTTTTCCTCCACTAAAGTCACAGAGCAGGTCTTCCTTTTGAGAAGTGGCTTTTTGCAAACACTTCACAAGTCTAGTGAATGGACGGGTGGACCTAGCATGTGTCCAATGAGGCTTCTGAGCTCCTTGGAAAGTGGCCAAATAGAAACACAGCAATAGGCAACAATGAGGGCTGGTTTTGCTGGACCAAAAATGATGGTGCTCCTACTGCCTCTAGTTCTAGGTAGGTTTCACTC